GATATTATCAAAACCCCAATAGTAACTTCAAACCCTTACTAACATATACCTATGTACAAATTTCTTTATATTTCACAAACTAAATATTCAAAATACTATAAAGTCTAGATATATAGCTTTTTAACCTAATAACATATACTTTTGGAAATTTTAAGCTAAAAAATTGTTTGAAAACTCAAGATGTGGCTCCAACCATTACTATCAACAAAACAACTCATTTACTACCTTTGAATTACATGTGCCACCTTTATTACTCTAGAACTTCTTCATACAAATTCCAAATGCAAAAAAAATTTCACTAAAGATGTAGATCTTAAAATCACCCTTGTTTTCGTATTTCTTAATCTCCAAAATCTATCATAAAACTTCTTATAATAATATGACTTAAAAAAATACCTTAACTTTACATAGCTATAACTTCATCATCCTAATTCCAAATCCTCTAAAACTTATATACAAATTGTAATCCAAATCTTAAACCTTACAATTCTTACTTTTGATTCTTGAATGTCTCTTCTAAAGTCACTAAGACTCTTGTTATGATTGCAAGCAATCTGTTGAATTACTATTGGACATAGCCTTTGACCAATAGGGATGAAGATCTTTTCTTTTATCCTTCAACTATTCATACCTTACTTTTATTCCTCTAAATAAGTTTCTTAGAGGTTTGGATCTTTATCTTTGAGCCCCAATCTTCTCTTTAAATTTTATGTTAAATATCTAAATTTCATATAAATTAAATACTATAATCAATATAAGTAAATCTCAAAATAAATATTTTTACATCAACTCTCTTTAAATTAACTTACTAACTATTCTAATATACATGTATTTATAAATATATCATATATTTTAATTAATTTTTACATATTATAAATAAATACAATATAACAATAGCACAAGTTTCCACTAGATAAAATTATCAAGTACTATCAATAAAATAATAAATACTAATTAATAATAATGATTAATAGCATATTTTATCTATGATATGTCTTTTTTCATTAAAAAAATAATTTAAATTCCACACTACATTTTGTTTTTTTAGAAGTTTTAATTAAATAAATATTAGTAATTTATTTTTTGAATTTTATATTTGTATTTATTTATTTATTGACTTTAATAAATATTTAAATATCTTAACATACTTTTATGATTTTTTAATGTAATTTAATATTTTTTTAATATATTTTCACAAGTAGTTCTTTGAACAAAATTAACTACTTTTTTTGTATATTATTTGTGACTATGGCATGGTTTTACCAATCCTACTTCATAGCTGAAAGCTCCACTGTGTATTTTATTTCTTTTTATTTGTATAGTATTTGTATAGTATTTGTATTTGAAAAATATTCTTTAGCTCACAAACATATCTTTCCAAAATAGTTTCATTTGAGTCACACTTGACAACTACACGGGTTCATACAGTATATATGATTTCAAGAATGTCATCAATGTCGTCCTGTGATGGTTGTAACACAGCTCCAGCTCTGAACCGAATTCGGATAAGTACAACAAGCAGGGGCTGACAAACCTTGAACAATGGGAGAGGACGAGAGGCGGGCTTCAATGGTAGTAGTGGTTTTGTTGCTTCATGTCGAGTACAGTCCCTTCTTTCAACATGTTTTTGGCGTCCGTCCCCAAGCCAAGTGTGGACAGTGCTGCCGCTTGCAGGCAGAAGGCGGTTGGCCATTCGGGACGGACATATTCCGCTTGCATGGCATCATGCAGAGCTACTTCGGCTTGCCCGCTCAGCAAGTAAGCTAAGCTGCGGCGAGCGAGGACCGTCGGAGACATCATGGTGCCCACATCCACAAACTGCAACCTAATCCAGGATCAATCACTGTGTGTATGAGAGAAGGAAGCACAATAAATTTTTATCAGCTTCAAGTCGATAACATCGGAGCAGAAGATTACCTGTGTGTAACAATCAATAGCAGTTTTGAAGTCTTTGTCACGAAAAGCTACGTCTCCCCTATTCCTCGAGTTTAGCAAGTCTTGCATCTTCTTTGTCCACACTTGAAAAGAAAGCTGAAACAAGAGAATTAGTTTTTTTTCATACAAGTTGCTTCACGGCGAACAAAATTGAACAAGCTATGATATAGAGTATAGAGGGTAAAAGAACACCTCGTTATCTGCGCCTTCTTCGATTTTCACGAGAATTTCGTGCACCGCTGTAAGATCGTTCCGAGAAATCGCCTCGCCCAAGGATGACAATGGAAGAGGCGGTGAGATCTCCTCTTTGGATTCCCATCAACGTGTATGAGGGTATCTTCTGCATTCGTTTTCCACATCATCCAACTTCAATGAAGATACTTCAGCTTAACATTGGATGCTTTTTTTCTTGAGGAAAATTCTAACAATGACTTCGGTGCACAAGTCAGTCATCCAGATCCGTCAATTAGCTGACCTCAGCTCTCCCCTGCAGTGGAGCAAGTGCACTGACAAGCATCCTGGCATCCCGTGGCTCAAACTGCAAACATCGAGATGCAAGTCGAACGAGCTCTGCGCCGTCATCATTTGCGATCTGACCTTCTAAATATGAATCCATGAACTACAACATGTTCTTGCCACGAATCAAGTCTAAGGCCTGCACCGCAAAACAAAGACACTACCCGATTCAAATACCTTACCTTCTGCAAGAGCACTTGCTTCAGGAAAATATTAACGCTAAATAAAAAAAATAAAAAAAAATAAAAAAAAACATGCCATTGGTTCATCATAGATTACGATAAACAACACAACTGCGGAAATCAGGGTCACTATGTCAGCACTTACGTGACTAGGAGGTAGATGCTTCCCACTCAACAGATCTAGTAGAACAGTTCCATAGCTGTAAATAACACTTTCAGGTGTCACCCTACCTGCAAATTTGAATACAAGAATCTCAGGAATCCAAAGTAAGCATACTAAATCCAGGGCTGCTTTGAATGTTGGTAATTTTGGGTAGGTCCGTAATAATGTCCAGAATTGCGCAAATACATTACCAAGCTTCAGACTTCGTTACCAGTTCTTAAGTACTCATGGGGGGGTGTATGCCAAGTTGGTACTGTAGCTCTTTCCATCTTGGCTGTTCTTCATGAGGCCGAAGCAGGAGAGACGTGGATCCCCCTCCTGGCAAAGGTGCAGGAACTCATCAGTTTAGGTTGTACGACTTACCAGGTTCACTTCATAACCGGAAGAATGAATAACAAAACATAATCGAACAACTTTTATTCTGTATAGCGGAACTAATTCAGTAGTATGCTAATTGGGAAGGAACTCACAACACCACGATTCAATGCGTAGTCGTGACAGAATAGAGATACCTGATCAAACAAAACACGATAGGCGTTGAGGTCATTATAGAGACGAAGATTGTGATTAGCACAGTGATCTAAAGCTTGGGCAATGTACAAAGCGACTCGCAACCTCATCGCCCATTGCATTGGTTGATACTCCCCTGTAGAATGTTGATGATCAACAAACTGTCATTGTCTTTGCAAAGTGTGACCATGGTAGACCTCAAATCTCCGACTTAACAGTAAGAAATTGAAAAGCAACTTCCCTTCGTGCACAAGAGATGTTATGTATAACCCTCCACTCAAAATGCATGGGTTCAATGAGAGAAATTTACAGTGAAACAAATTCTTTGACAAAGTATCGTTCGGCATATACTCCGCAACAAGTAAACGCTCATCACCCTCATAGCAGCAGCCAATCAAGTTCACCAATCTTTCATGCCTTACTAGACCCACCTTCGAGGCCTCATCCTGCAAGCAAATCATAGCAAATCATAGCAAATCCAAACTTTCAAGTTTTTGTGAACGTAATACTCATACGCCACTTTTCTCATGCTAGAATAGTTGCTTGAATTAAATTAAACAAACTAAGAAACAAAACGAATGGTGTTTGGTAACTAGAAGTGCGCTATGAAGGAGTTTACCATGAAGCCTATGGCATCGGGCCAGGCTGCTGTAGGGAACCGTTCAACCCAAATATTTCGGTCCAACCGGCCTTCGTACACGAAATTGGGTGCTTTCTCTCCGCTCTCTGAAACTACCAAACCAATGTTGAAGGTATTCGTGGCCTTGGTCAGAGACTCTAAAGTATACTCTCTAAATGAGGGAACTGACTATTTCAACCCGTCGCCCATGTTCTGCAGCTGCAGCCGAATGTACATGTTAGTTGCCGTGTTTTTGTTTCTAAAGTGAAACGTTGCGCTCACGAATACAGTCTCTCAAAAACTAATTGAACAATCAAACTAACAACAGTTCCAGAAATTCACAATCAAATGTTTTGAATAGCAGCAACCAACTGAGACAATAAAAATTAGGACCAGATGGAGGACATGTTTTGCTATGCTCGTGGTTTGGCTGATGTACCCGAACTCGCAACCTCCACTCGTGCAACTGCCGCAAAGCTGGTTGCAGGGGCATCAGGATTCTTGGACAAGAATCTCCCTACGCCCGCCAGTGCGTCACTTTCGCAGTTAGCTCGCCCCCCACCCTTACTGTTTACGGCCTCTTGTTGCCAACTTGAACCTCATCCTCGGTAAGACCGAGCATGTTGCAGAATAAGAGTATGATTGAAATACCTTATGAAAGAGAACCTGAAAGAAACCTGTACACTACGTCTGAATAACTATGCACTCTTGAAGAAAGGTCCATTATGCAACAATCTGTGGTAGAACCTCAGCTTAGGACCTGCACCAAGAGCTTTAACAGCTCGTCCATAGACCCATTTCTCCTGTATTCTTAATCCTTTCGTTCAGGACTTGGAAACCGAGCTACAAGAACCTCTTAAAGGACACGTCTCTGGAGGAAGAGACGTCTCTCTTGCTCTAAAATGTCGCAATCCAAGCACGAGGGAACCGAAAGCAAGAATTCCTCTCCCCTCATTCTCCCTCGCTCTCTCACAATCGCTGAATTCTGAAAGCCCCATCGTTTCGAACATCCATTTTCCTCTCAAAAAAACCCCTGATCTCTTTCGTGACCAGCGTCATCGATGTATCCTTGACGAATTTAAGCATTCATGTATATTTATGTTCATATTTAACTTAGGAATCTTTCTGTGCGGCCTCTCAATGAATGTCTGCCAATGTAGGATGTCTGTCAATGGTGCTAAGTTACTGTTCGGTGGACATAGAAAACCCCACAACACGGCAGCTCGATTGTACACCCATAATTAAGAATAAATAAAACAGAAAGTTACGTAGCGCAGTAAACCCACATGCTGGTATCATGTCCAGCTGTGGACACTATCCCGCTCCATCGACATCTAGTAGGAGACCTCTCAAGATCGAAACTGATGGAAACTGTGCCTGTCCCTGGACACCCTGAGCCCAAAAACCTCGAACGGGACTCCGAAGCTTTAACGAATTGCCGCCACAGTCTCGCAGTCGATCATGAGGGAGGAGATGAAGCTGGAAGCCATGCGCAAGGCAGTACTGCTCTATCCATGTAGCCTGACACTCCACACCCAACGCTCCACACGTGCAAACCCGCAAAATCTCCAGAAGACCAACAATTCCTTAAGAGCTTCTCAGAGTTGCAAGATGGAATAGCAAAGACAACCCAATAGAACTAACCCACCACCTAATTCCTCCTCATCCTCCATAGCCACTAACTCTGCGTCACACCCCATGCATGTCAATCACCTGATTTGAATGGACCACTACTTCCTTGCACATCAAACAAACCTCAAAGACAACATCTGAGCTTGGACAGAAGTCCCACTCCGATGACAGTTGAGGAACGACTAGGAGGCGATACGAGCCTTGAATACCAAATGAAGAATCAGTCGTTCAAGAGAAGTTAACGTGCAGGCGGTAATGCGAATACCTGAATTGAGCAGTCGCAAATTGGGTCGACGGTCACATGTTCGCTACGACGGAGGCTGGGAATGGATCTCCAAATGGCGATCAAGTGCGAGTTAATCGATTCCGTTGCATCCGTCTTCTGAAGGATGCAAAGTTCAGGTTTTCGGAGCATCGTGACAAAGAATTGTGCTGATGAAGTGAAATTGTTAGAGCCAATTCTTCCTTTTTGCACATTTGAGATGCTTTGGAGGCGCAGTCTGCACATCAAATATGAAAGCAAATATCGAAACAGTTACTCTCGGCGTCGACTACATCAGCCAAACTGGCGGTAACCTGCGGTAGTCTGCGGTAACTCGAACAAAACACAAGGAATTTATTTACCAAACTAGATTATGCAAAAAAAATTGTCTTTATTCTTTAGACATGGTCAGTTTTAGGGACACAATATTTCCAAGACTAAATAATCTTATTTGATGTATCACAATATGCTGTGTGATATGAATTTTGAAATGCTTATTCTTTTTTGGAGAATCTCAATATATACATATATTAGGATGATTCAAAATTAAAATTAAAATGTTTAGGAGCTTTTGAAATGTCAAGATTTTCTTTGCTTACTTGTAGACCAACTATAATATAATAAAATTTAGCCACCTTCAAAGTTTGAGATTGCATAAATAATGCATATAATCTATTAAAAATTTTAATTTTATTATTTTAAACAAGGAAAAGATGGATTGTTTTGTATTTAATTTCTAATGAATTAGAATCTATTTTTTTCATAAAATCATATGCATATAAATTTATTTAGTTTAAAACTATATAATAATAAAATAAAAAAGCTAAGTATATATGAATAATTAAAAATCCAAAAAAAATACAAATATATTTTAAGAGTTCAAAGTACATCTTGATATTGCAAATAATTCAAAGTAAATAGAAATAGATTAGATAGATTTTTTTCCAAATTTTAAAAAATTAATATATATATATATATATATATATATATATATGTATATATTCCTTATTTATTTTCTATCTAAAATATTTTTCTAATATATATATATATATATATATATATATATATATATATTATTGAATATCTTTATAAAGTAAATCTTTTGAAACAAATTTGATTTTTTTGTATACAAGATGGTTAGAATATTTAGATATGTGTATTTTTTTATAAAGTTGAAGTATTGGGTTGCATCTACTTACCATCTTTTAAAAGTTAATAGTTGATATTATTATTACTATTATAGATGTAGAAATATAGAATCCTAAATTTATTGCTTAGAATACTTTTAAGTTTTATTTATGCAATTTGGATATAAAAAAAAATTAATAAAAATACTGTTTTCTTCCAATTAGTGTCTAGTAAAGTTACTAGACTTTTTTTTACCAAATATTATTTGATTCTTTTGTATAACTTTTATACAAAAGAAATTATATTTTAAAAAATAATGACTTTTCTAGCAACAAAGCTTATTTGTTACAAAGGCGTTAATCCTTAAAAATAAATCATGTCTATTTTTCTTCATTAATTTGTAATGGTTTTGAAGTCAAATTATTTAATTAAAGTTATCAATAATCTGAATACTTTTGACCATGATGCAAAAAATAATTATTTAACAAATCTAAAAAAAAATAATATTGTTGTATATCTTATTTTATAAATCAAAAGGTTTTTTAAGGTCAGCCTATCAAAGGATTTAAAAGTTGTTATCTTTTAACTTCCCTCTTAAGAATAAAGACCCTCTTTGATAAATTTATATTTGATTATAAAGACTTAAATCACAACAAAAAGTCACTAAATTTAGATTGTACTTAGTTTGATTAGAATTTATGTGCTCTTGATTTGTCTATTTAATTACTTGTATTTTATTTAAAACCAAAATAATTATAAATTCAATCTAGATCTCAATTTACAATCAATGTTTCTTAATAAAAAGAATTAAAATTAAGTTGTAGAAGACTAGTATGAAAAATAATGATTACAAACTAGTTTTGTGGGATACCACAAAAAACTTTTTGTACCAAATTCTGTATTATTAGATTGTTCAGTGGTCTTAATTATTGCTGCTTCTAACTAAATAGTTCAATGTGTAAAGATAAAATAGTTTGTTATTTGTTAAAACAAAGGAAAGAAAAGACAAAAATAATATCTAATTGGAACAAAGTTGTAATGTAATAATAAACTTTTGATTTGGAAGCCCTTCTATTTATACTATATTTTTAAAAATATTTTTTGAATTAAATCCAATATATATTATTGGATCTTGTTCTTACTTATTATTTAGTAAGTAGTATCTAATTTGGTAGATGTATATTCAATTAAATATTTCTATACAAGTAGCAACTTGATTTTTAAATCTATATTTAGATTTTTGGATTTAGATGATTATTCAGTTAAAATACAAAAATACAATCAAAACTTATTTATGTTTCATATTATGTAATAATTGAGATCAATCAAGAATATTTTAATAGCACTAGGGATCTCTAGAAAAATGAATCCTTTGTCCATATTCATTCAAAAAAATAAAGAAATCAAAACCTATTTTGTTGTTAATTTCATTAATCAATGCAAATAAGATATGTAAAATGATATTTTCTACAAAGCTTCCAATCACAATGTCACTCTAAAAAAACAAATTGATTTATTCTTGTATCTTGCTTGTATTAAAAAAAAACATATATATATATATATATATATATATAGCCTCAGATTTACAATTAGAAAAATCTTGACAACTTAACCAAACTCAAGTGAGGTTCTCACCTTGCTTTCTGCTTTGAATTGGTGGAAAAAATATGGATGGATCACTAAGATTAAGTTAATTTTAAGAATCATTTTGTTGGATAAAGATAGAAGAATATTAAATAGATCCAAGTTTTTACTAAATTTATCCAACCATCTTAACCATCGTGAACACAAAAATGACCTTTAGATTCATTTCTCCACTCTTAGATCTGCAATCAATAAAAACCAACCACATTCATAATGCTAACCATAAAAAGGTCTATTTATTTATTAAAGTATGGGTCTATTTAACATTCCACTAAAGATACGTCACCAGAATGAATTGAAGCAAACGTAGCACGCTGTAGCAACTCAAGAGGATTAAGATTAAGAAAGAAGAGGGCATCACAAACATGATAAAACATCGCACATTGACCTCAACGCTCAAGCAACACTGCAAGCCCTTCGAAGATATGCAAAAAATGCATACGTAAAGGTCATTCAAGTGTGTAGGCGAGCTCTCTTCCTCGAAATTATTTCATGTTTTTGTGTGTGTATGTGTGTGTGTGAAGAACCTCAATCCGTGTGCACTCATGGTGCCAATGCTGCCCAGTTCGATGTTCAGAACCAGATGGGTGCTTTTCGTAACGTCTCGATCTGAGACGAGACGAGCACAATGTTACTCCGAGCATGTCAGAGAATGATTCCCCAGTCTGTGCTTTGACGGTTTATCCGTTTAGGATTCTGCGAATGCTCGTGCCATGCCCCTCAGATAGATGCTTCGTTGTTTAACTGTGTAGCAGCATTCTTTGTGCCATCGCTTAATAGACTTGGGTGCAATCGATTTTGGGTGGTAGGAAAAGTGTGTCGATGGTTGTCCTTAGCGCCGCCCGAAGGTCGAGAGTTGGGTAAAGAAGGAGAGGAAGACAAGGGGATTCGGTGATTGTCGTGGCATTCATGGCAGTCTTTGCGCCAGTGGTCGCCTTTTCTCAAGCGCCAGCTCTAGCTCCTTGCGCTGTGGAATGTTGTACTTCTCCGTCAGCTGCATGGTTCGTCAAGCGGACAGATCGTATGCGAGTGTTACGAATTCGCAGGGTGGAGCGAGTAGGTGCGCTGCGATGCGTGTGCCGGGGTGGTGGAGTGAAGCCGGAGACCACGGACGGGGGACAGAAGCATGGAAATAGGGTTTTCATATTTGGGATGGGGTACACATCTCTAGCGCTAGCGAATAGTCTGAAGAAACAGGGGTGGGATGTGGTTGGGACGTGTAGAAGCGAGGAAAAACGGGAGGCGTTGGAATTGCGGGGATTTCAAACCCACCGTTTCAATCCGGACAACGATGGGGAGTGGTTGCAGGGAGAGGCAATCCGGGATCTCCATGCGTCCACTCACATTGTGAACTCTATCCCTCCTGTGGGCGACTTCGATTGCGACCCGGTACTGGCCAGTGTCAAAGTGGAATTGCAGCAAGCAGCGAGGGAGCGGTTGCAGTGGATAGGGTACTTGTCCTCCACTAGCGTCTATGGTGACTGGCAGGGAAATTGGGTGGGAGAGGAAACCGACCCGCGGCCGGTTGAGAGGAAAGCCGTTGCGAGGTGGGAGGCTGAGAAGAGTTGGATGCAATTTGGTGAAGAAACTGGAGTATGCGTGCACGTGTTCCGCCTCGGGGGGATTTATGGGCCAGGTCGCAGCGCTCTCGATACAATTCGGCAGAGTGAACAGAACAAAAAGCTCTCGACAAGACAGCAGCTGCGAGGGCACAAACGATTCACTTCGAGAGTTCACGTTGCAGATATTTGTCAAGTGATCGTTAAAACTATGGCGTCCAGGGATCGCGCAAGAAAAATTTACAATGTCGTGGATGACGACCCTAGTCCTCGTGCTAAGGTTATGGCGTACGCTCGAGGACTTCTTCTGGGTACTAGTGTGGAGCATGATATGGAGTTCCCAGAAGAGTCTGCCGGCTTCGTTTCAAGTGGTCATGTCTCCGAAAAGCGAGTGTCCAATCAACGTGTGAAGGACGAGCTCCAAGTTAAGTTGTTGTATCCTTCCTTCAGATCGGGATTAGAAGCAATAGCAAATGGGTTAAATAATCCGTTCGATCAAGAAATCAGATAATCTCTTTAACCTTGTTTTGTAGTTCATAGGATCATAGCAATACTTCTGCCCAGCCCGGGATTGAGAACTTGAACCATTTTTTCAGTCATGATCTCGGTGAGGAGTAGCATTCTTCAGCTTGAATGTTCACATCGCCTTCTGAGATCGACATATCTAAGGCGCACGTTGCAAAGACGTAAGTGAAGAGTAGCGCATGAGAAGCCGATCAAAGGTTATTTTTTTATGCATTTGTTTATAAATGTCATCTCTGATTCGTGTATAAGCGGCAGAAAGGAACTGCCATATGGAAAATCAATGGAAGTGCGTTCAGTGTAACCCTAAATAATTAACACAGTTTCAAGTCTTAACCATGCATTTCGCATTCCCAATGTGTTTCAGGACGATCCGACTTCGTTTTAGAAGATGCAGTTTTCTGAATTCCACACGTTTTCTCTAGCACCTCTGGGTCAAGCTTGGTTGCATAACATGAACCCATTTTGTGTTCCAATGGCTTCCAAATCATGTAACGTTACAAAAACACGATACACTGCACCCAATGCAATTCAGGTAGTCGGATGCCTTCTATAGCCATTTGATGTTTCAAGCAGTGAAAAGAGTTGGAGCATGGTTGCCAGACACATCACAAGTGATATTGTAAAGGGAAAGTTACTTACTCAAAAGTGACCCTGTTCCAAACCACGGAATGGATTGAGTGATACTTCACATTATCCCAGTGTTGAAACCTGAACAAAGGCTGGTTCCTTTGACTTGGAACATTAGCTGGCCATGTTCAAATAGGAGATGGTGGTGTCTGAAGGTTGCTAACTCCTTCAAGAGATACAGGAGGCCCAGTTTTATCTTTAGAAGCCAAAGGGTGATGAGATTTGCATAAGGAAAGGTAGCTGAAGTGAAGCCCAAGCAATAGAGTAGTAAAAATCTTAAACCAGCGTTACAATATGTCATAGAGGTGCAATCAATAGAGGAAGCTCACGAAAGTCTGTTTCTGCCCAAAATAAAATAAAATAAAATAAAAAACAATCAAACAAACAGCACAGAAAAACAACATTTTTGGGAGGGCAAGCGGTGCAGCGAGTTGTTGGAAAGTGACGGGGGGTAGTGGATGCTGGGCTGCCGTGGTCTTCCTACGGTAGTAGCAAACGGCCGTCAAGCGCGCATGCATGGGGGGCGAGGTTGGAAGGCAAGGTGGGTGGGTCACATCTTCGGTTTAGAACGGTGGCAGAGTGCGGTTAGTTCGGGGAGGGTGTTGTGCAAAACCGCTGGGCAGCATTCGGACATTGGGGCAACACAAGAGAATACGCGCGCATGGTTTTGTGATTCCGCAGGTAGTCTCTTGCAAACATGAAGCTTGGAAGGGCATAGCGAGTCGTGCGGAGGGCACGGTTGGTAGCCCGGAGTAATCGTGTGAGGCGTGCGCACAATGCATCGGTGGCGGCAAGTTAGATAGTTGTTCACATCCGTTTTAGTCTACATGGCTAGGATACTCGACTCTCACCCGAGCGATCCGGGTGCCTCGGCAATGGAAGCTCCCAAGTAAATAATTGGACTACATACCCTTTTCTATTTTCTTTTAGTCTTTGTCATTTCTACCAGGTCTGCCCTTCTTGTCTCATACTTCTCGATGAGAACCGAAGCAAGGGAGTGACACCCGCATACGGAAAGAGTGCCCTTCAAACTCCCCAGTTGACCCTACTTTGGCTCTCATCAGTTCCCAAGTCACCAAAAATCTCCAAATCTCCCAAGGAAGGTGCCCCTTCTAAACTCGCACCCAAACCAAGTTCCAAGCCACCTTCCCAAACCACCCGTACAGCAAGTGGTCTGGTGTAGAAATTTTTATTATGTATTTTTATAGAAATCTGGGTGGCATGCAGACATTAATAATAGAGGAGGAGGAGGCAATTTGTGCCAAAAGTGCCATGCTCAAATCTATGCGGCATGGAATTTGGGCACTAGATGCATCTAAACAAGGAAGAGTGATGATACCTTATCACATTCAAGGGTAGATTTGCTATTATTAAGAATACATGGGAATTATTGATATTTTAGCATATTTGAGGGATATATGTTTATATATATATATATATATATATATTTTTTTTTCCTAAAATCTAAAATTTTGTAGGTATGGAATATTTTTGTAATTGTGTGCAAAACTTTCCAACTCATGTTTGTAAATAAAGAAATATTTATTTTAGAGGTATTTCATTGGTTTGTCTGTTGTCATTGTATTCAAGGATAGTAAGTAGGCAATTGGTAAGAAATAAAATCTTTTAATTTAAAATCAATTGCTTTGTAATTATAATCTACTAGGCAATCTTTATTTGTACATTGAATTTAGAAAGTTGTTTGCAAAAGTGTAATTATTTTTGCTATAAAAATTTAACACTAAAATTAAATATAAAGAAAGATGCATTCTTTAAATTGATATTCATTTAAATATAAAATTAGATAAATCCATAAAAAATCAACTTATCTACTTATCTTGATAATTCATAATGTAAGAGCAGGTATTTTAAGTGTCACGGACATACACATATAAGGCAATAATTACATGTATAAATAGGTAGAAGTAAACAAAGTAGGTAAAAGTAAATTAATTCTATAGTATTTGCTATAAAAGCTTCCTAGAAGCTTCATAGACGCTCCTTTGACTTTATAGATGTCTTTAATTGACTTTTTGGATTAGAAACATGGTCAATAAGTTGGCCATGTGCCTCACATATTGTTAACTTGAAGACCAAGCTAACTATGTAGCCTACATGTAGAAAAATTTACTTTGTAAGTCAAGGCATGTGTCCTACAAAGTCAACACATATTGGAGGTCTTATAGAATGTCGCCACATAGCCCCTAGTTAGATAGTATATACAAAAACAAGAGTGAAGCCTTCTTCACTCTTGTCAACTCTTTTCTTGCTTCTAGTCTAGTTTCAAAGATCTCTAGTTTTCTTGGCTTTTGGTAATAGCTATTCCACTCTCTTTCTTAATATACATATCAAGTTATTTCTATTTTGTTATCTTTCTTTGAGAGAAGTCTCACTTGTTTATTTATTTTTTATCATATTCTTGTCCTTGATAGATTGACAAGAGTGCACTTACAATATCAGAGCTTTGTCTAATCTTGATTAAAAGTGGATTACCCCTTTCTCTTAATAAGACATAAGTATATTAGAAGTTACGGATTACCTTCTTTTAAACTGATATTGTCCTTAGTATTTTCTTTGTTCCCAAGTCCTCTCTTCTATTTTTCTTGAGCAATATTAGACATCTTCTCTTTTTTAAGTGTTATTATGGCAGAACTTGCTGAAATGAATAGTGCAATCGCACAAATGCAAAAGCAATTGAAGGAGTTAATGCTTGCGATGCATCAATTCAATTTACGACCACAAGGAGCAACAAGATTGGCAGGAAGTGAAGATATAGAAATGATTGGAGCTGCTTCAACATCTGTACTAAATCATCTCCCTTCTCTTATGGTGGAATGCCCTTCTACTGTTAGAGAACCAAGAATTACCGTGCCCGAGAAGTTTCATGGCACCAGATCAAAATTCAGAGGATTTATCAATCAAGTACAACTTGTGATTGAACTTCAACCCCAAAGCTATCCAACTCCAGGATCGCAAGTTAGATTCATTGCTATGCTTCTTTCAGATTCAGAATTATCATGATTTTCATCTTTTCTTGAATGACAAGATCTAATATTGGATAATCTAGAGGTTTTTTTGGCAGAGTTTTGATCCATGTATGGAGAATATGATGCAATTCGTGTGACAACCAATAAGATCAATACTTTGCGACAAAGCAATCGATTAGTAACGTTGTATGCTTCACAATTTTGATAACTTGCAACTGATATCAAGTGGGATGATGCTGCACTTATTAGCTAATTTTTCCACAAATTATAATATGAGGTAAATAAATTAATAGTCAACTTACTTGATCCTCAAAAATTGAGTCAAGAAATTGACTTTGTTGTGAAGTGCAACAATCGTCTTTTTGAATTTTCATCTGAGAATCATACAAGTGGACTTCAACGTTACTATAATTCAATGGCAATACCAACATCTCTTCAACACATACATTCGGAAGTAGAGGATATGCAAATTAATGTGGTACATTTCAAACCTCTTACTAAGCAAAAAAAGATTCATCGTCGTAAGGAAGGATTGTGCTTATATTATGGAGAACCTAAGTACACTTCTCAACATTGCCCAAAGAAGCAATGTAACCATAAAATGAGGAGTACGGCAATTATAGAAGATAGCATGTCGGAAAACAAATTTGTCCAACTACAATAGGGAACGTGCAGTTGGAACCTTGTACAATGACTAATGAAGGTCCTATCCTTTCCTCAGAATCTTCTCTATGTTTTATGATAAATGTTATTCTAGGACCTAAACATCACAAAGCCTTTGCCTTACTAGATTCAGGAGCCTCAGTATGTTTCTTAAATGAAGAATTTGCTAAAAGACATACCATATTTTTAGTAAAGAAAACTAAACTTGTTCATGTAGAAGTCATAGATGGTCGTATGTTGTCTTCAAGAGATGTTACTCATGAAATCCTTTCTATAGAAATAGCAACTAATGGTCATAGTAGCTTTGTAATATTTAATATCATTAGATCTCCTTCTAATCCAATCATTTTAGGTTTATCATGGCTAGAAAAATATAACCCTAAAATAGATTGGACTTCTCGTAGTCTTGACTTTTCTGAAAGTATAACTAAGAGCGTAGTTAATCAAGTAGAAAGTCATAAGTCTAATATAATTAAACCTATATTTATATGTGTAAGAGCTTTCTTTCATGTTACAAAAGAAGGATCGCCTTGTGTCATTTATGCCACACATGTTTCTATTGGTGGAAAGACTTCAAGTGGCATTCTAAGCCAATATCAAGATTTTTAAGATATATTTGAGAAAAAGAATGCGGATACTCTTTCGAAACATTATTCCTATGACTGCTCAATTGACCTTCAAAAAGGAGCACAACTGCCATTTGGACCAATCTACAATTTATCTCTAAATGAGTTGGCTGAACTCAAGGAGTATATTGAAGAGAATTTGGCTAAGAACTTCATACGTCATTCCAAATCTCCAGCAAGAGCTCCAATTTTATTTGTAAAGAAAAAAGACGGATCATTGTAGATGTATGTCGATTATTGAGAATTCAACAAAATCACTATCAAAAACAGGTACTTGCTATCTTTGATATTTGGACTCCTTGATCAATTGAATCAAGCTAAGATCTATACAAAAATAGATCTACAAGGAGCATACAATTTGATATGCATCAAAGAAGGAGATAAATGGAAGATTGTGTTTTGAACAAGGTATGGATATTTTGAATACAATGTCATGCCTTTTGGACTTACAAATGCACCAGCAACATTCCAACATCTAATGAATGATGTCTTTTGGGAGTTTTTAGATGACTTTGTTTTCTGTTATCTAGACGATATCTTAATCTATTTTAAGAACTCAGAAGAATATGAACTTTATGTTTGTTGTGTGTTACAAAAATTAAGAGATGCATGACTCTATGTCAAGATAAAAAAAAAAATGTGTATTTTACACTACTCAAGTCGACTTCTCAGGATATATCATTTCAAATGATGGACTTATGATGGATCCTAAGAAAGTTCAAACTATTATGGATTGGAAGATCCCAAAAATGGTAAGAGATGTCCAATGCTTTTTGGGATTTGCCAACTACTATCGAATCTTCATCAAAGACTTCTTTCAAGTTGTAGCTCCACTAACATGTTTGACTTGTAAAGACAAACTTCAATGGAATCAAGAAGTAGAAGTAGTATTTGAAGCTTTAAAGACAGCCTTTGTTTCTGCACCAATCTTGTATCACGTCGATTTTTTTGAGCCATTTTTTATTGAAACAAATACATCAGACTTTGCTTTGGATGCCGTATTGTCACAAATGGGAACAAATAAAAAACTTCATCCAATAGCTTTTCACTTTAGAAAATTTTCAGCAGCCGAGATTAACTACGAGATCCACCACAAAGAACTTCTTGCA